TCTACTGTGAGGGAAACCCACTCTTTCTGAAGAGGCCAATTACTACTACTCAGCCTAAGGACATCTGGACTCTATGGGTGATGGTTTAGCTCATAAGTGTGAACCTCCACACAAAATCCATGGTTTACATTTTAAAGCATTCTTGTCAAGCCAGCAAATGTATAACTCTAGTCCATTGACAATGTGGTTCCTTCACATAATTTTTGACCTTACAGGTCACTGGTCATAACAGAATTCAGTATAATCCTGTCTGATTCCCAGAGTGACTCAGCATAGAGAAGTAGAAAGGTTTTGTTGGATGAAAAAGGAAAGGAATTTATTTCCATCTGTTCTAAGTATCTTTTCAGTATTATCTAAACATATATTTGGTTTGCTGTTAGTGGGGTCTTTATTGCTTTTGAACCCCTTTCATGTATCTCCATCCCCAATGAATGAGTGGATATAATTCAGAACACGTTCAGTTTGGTAAAACTAGTTGATGATATTAAAAGGACTAGGAAGCATATCAGAGAATTCCTGTCCAAACAGACAAGCTGAACACCACAGATGCCCCCACAGTTGAGCATGAATGTTTACCATGAGTTTGGATTTATCGGATTCATTTGGATCTAAGGCTGAACATGCAAGATTTGACCAACATTAGTTATCATGTGTTACTTTAAAAAACTTTTTCTTACCATAAAAGCAATACAGGCTCATTTAGAGAAACTGGAAAAATAAGCCCATGGAAATTCATAAAACTACTCAGCAATCCAGTGTTCAGAGGTATAACCATACTCTCTGACTTTCCGATGCATCTAGAGCTTGTTTGAAACTAAAGATGAATTCATACTCTGTGTTGGAGACTTTATTTTTCACCCCAAATATTGTCAATTTCTTTTAAATAAGAATAAAAATATACCAAGATATCTTTTTAGATAAATGTGTGGCAATCTGTTATGTCAATATTTTAAGTGCTGTTAGGTGTTTAGATCATGAATATTTTTCTTCTTTTGGCCTTTATAAATGAGACCAAACTGGTCATGTGCATAGTAAATTTCTATCTCATATCCAATCCATATTTTCCCTCTGAATGAAATTGTGAGGCCAAAAAACTGATTTCTTTTAAAATTTATCTCTTTTAGCCAGGCGTGGTGGCATATGCCCTTAATCCAAACACGCAGGAGGCAGAGGCAGGTGGATCTCTGTGAGTTCAAGGCCAGCCTGGTCTACATAGTGAGTTCCAGGACAGCTGGAGCTACAGGGAGACCCTGTCTTAAAAAGACCAAAAAAAAAAATCAGCTCTTTTAAATTCCTTTCAGGGGAATATTTTCATAAATGGCATTATTTCCTGCTCTTGGATGGAAAATATTATGTGAAATTTACTGTAAATAATATTAAAGTAGAGTTTTAAATTTATTTAGGTTCTTATACTCATTTTCACATGCATTAAGCATTTTAGAATAATAATTGTAGCTTATTTTAAGGTTATTGACCAGATACTGTGCTAATGAACTAAAGTAGTCCTTTGATAACCTTCAAGAGGTAGGTATCTTTTTATGGGAAGAGAATCTAGGGCCCAGACACGTTAAATAACTGGGCTCCAGGCCCCATGCTGAGTATTGCCTCAGACACAGGATTCAGAGGGTGAAGGGAGGGAAACAGGGTCAACTTGGGTTGACATGAAATTATGATTTGTGAATGAGGCTGGATGAATATTTAACCTGGTATGATAGCTGTATGTCTGAAAACTCTTTAAAAGAGATTTATTTTTCTTTAAGTATGTGCCTGTACTCATGTCTGTACATAGGTGTACAGATGCATGCATAGTCAGAGCCCCTGGAAGTGGAAGTACAGGTCGTAATAATCTACCTGAGACAGGTGCTGGGAACCAAGCTCAGGTCCTCTGGAAGAGCAATAAGTGCTCTTAAACACTGAGCCATCTCTCTAGCCCCAGTATTTTAGAGAACTCTTAATGTCAACAAAATAATATTTGCCTCTTTTAATTTTCAAAATTGTAAGGTTCAGGAACACAGGAGTTAATTTTATGCATATATTAATATACATATAGATAAATATATACTAGAAATACCTATTTTACTTATAACAGGTAAATGATTTAGGTAGTTTTCAAAGGATCTCTACAAATTTTTCTTAGAAATCTGTCTCAAACTGACTATGATTTTTATCTGCACTTCCTGTCATTTCTGCTAGACATTTGGTTAACATTACCAAGCAAACACCTTTTGGTTTCAGAGTTACAGGGCTTTGAAACAGTGTATGCCTTGGTAAAGAGTCTTTAAGAGACAGACCTAGTTGCTCAGGTCTATAATCATAGCTACATTGAAGGCCGAGGCAGGAGCATCAGAAGTTCAAGTCCTGAGTTGCAGAGTGACCTCAAAGCTGGCTTGAATGATTTAGTGAGACTCTGTGTCAAAATAAAACGTAAAGAGAGGGTTGGGGATATAAGTGCTTGCAGTACAAAATTTTTTTTTCCTCAATTCAGAAATGTATTAACTAAAATTTGATGCTAGTAATTCACTACAGTGACTGATGCAGGCCAAGTGTTTTGCTAGTGTTATCTAATTTATCTCTCTAAACTCTGTGACAATATTGAAAAAATTCCTATTTTACACATGAGATAGCCAGGATTAGATGAATTATGGACTTGTCCAAACAAGGTCACACAGTCAGTAAATTTTGAGCCAGTTCGTGAAGCTCTGTATGTAATGGATCCTGAATCCTTCTCATGTTCCTGAATGTTAGTTCCTCCTATTCACATAGTTGTAGTGCACTGTAGAGGCGTTCTCAGTGCTTCTAGTCCTATGAATTGGGTCATATTTGTTTCATATTTGGTAACTTTTATACTTAAATAAACATAATTTGTAAACGTATACTTTTATAACTCAAGTTAACATGAATAAGAAAAATTAAAGTGCCTATGGAATGTTTCAATTTATGGTGGTTAGAAGAAGGAATACTCTATAATCTGCATAAAATATTCCAGCACAAAAGTATGTAATTCAAAATGAGCAACTTATTTGTTAAATATTTCTTGGATTTTTAAAAAGATTGTTATTATTTTTATTTATGTGTATGTGTGTGTGTGTCTCTAGCTATATACGTGTGTGTGTGTGTGTGTGTGTGTGTGTGTGTGTGTGTGTGTGTCTGTGGAGGCCAGAGATATTGGATCTCCTGGGGCTGGAGTTACAGGCAGTTGTGAACTGCCCAACATGGCTGCTGGAAACTAAGGTCAGGTCCCTGTAGTTAAGGGCAGTTGTTAAGAGCGGTACCTGCTCTGAACTACTGAACCATTGCTCCAGGCTCAGATTTCTTGGCTTTTAAATAACACTGGTATTAGGTCATCATTTAATTGCATATTTTCAAAAAAAATTTTTTAAAATATATCTCTTGATACCATTGGTCAAGTTAGTTGTATTTTACTTTATATATACTCACATTTCCAAATAAAACTTTAAATTGTCATGATGTGCATTACTCTTACAAAGGAATATGTTGGCTATAAGTAGAATATAAATAATGACTGATATGAATTGTCAGAGATGCACTGAGTACAACAGACATGTTTGGATCCAGAAATCATAAATGGAAAAAGCAACCCACATGCTCTTATTTACAGATCTATATATTTGGGTAAATTCTTCCATCTTCTGGTTGGGGACCGAATCCTTGTCTATGAGTGAAAACTATCCACCAGACTCCATCTTGTTAACGAATGACCCACCTCTAAACTGAGTATTTCACTTTGATTCACAAGTCATACTCGGTGTTAAGTAGTTAGAGGAAAAGTGACGATAAGTGTATGATGTAGGAGTCAGAGTAGTATTATTAGTGCTTTCAGTGGACCTTGGCCAGGAGGTTGTGCTGGTGAAGGATCAGACTTAAAAAGGAGTGTGAGGTCAGGGTGGTTTGCTGTACGAAGGCAGCTTTCCCAAATGTTTATTAACTGGGAAGCATAGGATAGCAAGGAACAGGCTCACAACAATAGATAGGATCATTTTTTGTGTTTGAAATGTTTAGAGGCTTTAATTAGAGGAAAGGGAATTAGTGAGATATTTTGTGTATATTGATGTATGTATATATTCCCAGTGAATTTTAACAGAGCCTGATATTGACTATTTTAATAGTATTAGAAAATCCTTCATTTTAGCCAGGAAAAAAATGCCCCAAATAAACTATCCCCACATACTCTTAAAATTTCTGGAAGTATTTGTATAACATTTATATGGAGTTCCATGCTACATAAACACAACATTGCTACATAAATTTAAATGCTATTTGTGCTGTGCTGGCATACTCCACGGGGAACTTTTAGGGAGGAAGGCAAATGCTTACTTTCTTGGCTTGCTCAGTAAAGATTTAATTTTATCTATCATATATGTTTTTACATTAAGATGATGGTGATGATGATGGTGGTAGTGGTGGTGGTGGTAAAGGCAACTTCTATTTTTTTGTTATTTGATATTATAATATTATTATTGAACAATTTTTGTGCTTATGTATGGCTAAATCTAACATAGACTGAACCTAGAGATTCACTCACAGAAGGTAGTGCTATTCAAGTGATTGCGTGTCTTAAAGGTTTGTGAGCTACAGTTTAAATAATACTTAGACTTTAGTGAGTATGGCTAAATCTTTTTAAGTTGTTTGGCTAGTCATACAGTCCCAGTTTATTATAATGAAAGGTACTAAATTTGACCCAAAATGATATTTAATTTTATTAAACAGATAGTATAAACTTATCATGAGTTGAATTCCTGTATGGAAGAGACAAAAATATAGTAGAAGCTACTTACTTTACTTGTATTGATGAAAGGCAAGCATTTTTTTTACAGTACCAACCACATGCAACATAATTCATTATATATTCTATAGACTCTTAGTTTAATAAACACCAAGGGATTAGATAAAATTTTGAATTAATGAAATGGGAATTAATGTAAAGTAAAAATTTAAAGTTAATTTCAGGATCTATATTCTTTTTTTTTCTTTTAATTTAGGAAATAACAGCAAGATTTATCATCCGTGAGCTAGAAGAAAATAACCCTTTTCTAATGAATGCCATAGAATGTCATCCAGAGGCCAGGGAGAAAATCTCTCAGGCAAAACAATGTGCAATATGCAAAAAACCCTTTTTATCTGAATGGCTGGAATGTGTTCAGTTTGTTTCTCCATCGAAGGTAAATGGTGCTTTTTTGTGTGAGTAGGAACTCAAGAGCTCCTAATCTTTTGTCCTTATCTGAGTGAGCCCATGACTAAATTTGTATCAAAAGATTGATTTATTTGGTAATATTTTTGATAAACAAATTGTATGTAATCATCATTATTACCCATTCCATTTACATTTAAACTCTTTAATGTGTCAGAATACATATGTTCCATCAAAATTCTATCAACATTGTGTGTGGTGGTGCATGCCTATAATCTCAGCCCTTGGCGTGTAGAGGATGAAGGCTCGCTGTTTAGTAACAGCTTGGGCTAGATAGAGTTTTCAATGGAAATTAAAAAATTTTTAATTGAAAATTTTTTAAATATTTTATTATTTTTATGTTATGTATATTTTTGTATCGCCTGCATGTATGTGAGTACACGCATGTCGTGCAATGCCACGTAGGTCAGAAGAAGGCTTCAGATTCCCCTGGAACTGGAGTTAAGAACGGTTTATAGCCGCAATGTGGGCTCTGGGAATCGAACCTAGGTCCCCTGCAAGAGCAGTCAGTGCTCTTAACCACTGAGTCATCTCTCCAGCCCAATTGAAAATTTTTAATTAGTATCTTTTGTTTGCAAATTCTGTTAGTGAAACCAGAACTATATTCTTCTAGGGAGAATTGGTCAGTAGTTTGTTCTCAAGTTTATGTGCAGAAAATGTGAAGGTTTTGCTTACTTTGTGTCATATTGATGTTCTCACAGGCACTCAGCGTAGATTTGCAATAGCAATGTTATGTCTTCTGGGCAGTTGCCACCCTGGGCAGTTCACATAGCTCATGAAGGATGTTCTACACCAATGTTTAGCAGACCTCTTTTCCTATATATGTCCAAAGATAAACTTTTGGAAATGTAGTCTCTATCACTACTGTGTAACTGCTTTGCAGCAAGAAAACATCTATAGGCAATATGTAAATGAATGTATCCTTACATTTACATTTCATGTAATGTTCACATGATATGAGATATATTTCTTTTTTAAACACTTAAAAATATGAAAGTATTTATAACTCACATATCATGAAACAGAATGTGGGACATACTGTGCTTGGCAATCTTTGTTAGCCTACATCTGTTCTAGACCATCCAGCATTTGTTCTTGACACTGTAATTTTGTGTCTGGTCTTGATAAGCACATGTTGACTCCTGGGAAAACAGAACATAATAGTTGATGATAATGTTAAATAAATAAATAAGGCATTTTCTAGTGAAAGAGGCAAACACACACACATTTGTAACTATAAATGATGCATATGGCATAAAAGAACATGTTAGTTTGTTGGGACTGATGTAACAGTACCACTGGGTAGTTTAAACAACAGAAATTATTGCCCAAATGTTTTAGAAGCTAGAAACCTAATACCAAGTTATTGCAAGGACCAGTTATTTGTCAAGACTTTGAAGAATAATCTGTTTCAATCCTCTCTTAATGGCCTATGAATGGTGGTTGTTATGGTTAGTGTTCATTGTCAAGTTGACAGGATCTGGAATCACCTAGAGACAAGACTTTAGAAGCACCTATGAGGAATTATTTATTTTATGAACATACCTGTGGGGGCTTCTGTTGATTGACTTAATTGATCTGGGTGAACTCACATAGAGAAAATAGACAGCATTGTTCCTGGGCTTGGGTCTTGTACTGTATAAAACAGAGAAAGCCAACTGAGCACAAGCATTCATCATTGATTCTCGACTGTGGATGCAGTGTGACCAGCTGGTATTGCTGCCATGACTCCCTGACCACAGTGGACTGTACCTTCCAACTGTGAGCTAGAATAAACCCTTTCTCCCTTAAGTGGCTTTTGTTGGGTATTTTATTGCAGCAACACAAAAAGTAACCAAGACAATGGTTTTCTCGCCCCCCTCTCTTTCTCTCTCATCTTCACGTCAGTTTCTTGCTTTAAGGGGCCTGTGTTTGGATTTCCCCTTCTTTTGAGTGAGGCAGTCATATCAGGTTAACGTCCACAGCAATGACCTCATTTTCATTTGATCACCTTGGCAAAACAAACAAACAAACAAACAAACAAAAAAAAAATCTGTCTCCAAACAAGATAATCTCAGAGGCACTCAAGATTTCACCATATGAACTTGGAGGGGGGCAGTGTTCAATCCAGAGTCCATAAACAAAAGCAACAAGGAAGCCCTTATTTTGAAATCTGAGATGTGTGAATTTTCATCTAGCAAAGGGCATTTTAACTGACACTTCAGTGTGAAGGAGCTGCTCAGGTAGAGCCAGAAGAGAGCATTTCCAGGTAGTGGGAAGAGAATGTGTTCAGACTTGGAGAAGGGAAATCTCTTAGTAACCCCAGGAATGGAAAACAGTTTAGTATAACTGGCCACAATTCATAGCTAGGTAAACAGATGTAGTCAGGACTTGGATCTCAATATATCTTGTGGTTCTAGTTAAGGAATTTAACTTCTGTCTAGCGTATAATGAGATACCATTTAAAGATTTTTAAACAAAAGAGTGCATGTCCTGATTTTTATTTTACAAGGATAACTTCAGAGTAGAGAGTGAATCAGAGGAGATCAAGAAAGTAAGGAGATGTGGCAGGTAGAAATTGTGGGCCTCAGGTTAGAGATGATTGTGGCAGTGATGGTGGAGAAAAATGGATGGCTTTGAAATGTATTTTGGAGAAAGAAGTTTTCAGAACTAAAGTCTAAAATGGAGCAAGTACTTTTTACAAAAATTGGGATTGCAGGAATTTTCAGGAGTTCTGTTTGTCCAGGGTAAGTGTAAGATTCCTGTAAGGGAGCATGAACACTGAATCCTCTCCAGGCAGTGAGGAATGCCAACAGCTCTAGAGTCTAGGATTCAATGTCGCTGGCATGTGAGCTTGAGTGTTTGCATGTATGTATGGTCTTCATGTGCAGCTATTTGAGAGGGACAGATTTTGGTTAGATAGTTAGACAGGTAGACCTATGACCTCTTTACTTTTTCTGCCACTGAAGAGTCTGGTTCTATACCCTTTACTTAAACTCATACTATCTTTGTGCCAATAACAGATCTTAGTTGCAGCTCTTTACACCTGTCTTAGTTGGTTAAATCACTAGCTACTCACCAAATTTACTTATGGAGCTTTAAGAAAGTGCATCTGTCTAGCCCCATACCTAGTGTGTGTGTGTGTGTGTGTGTGTGTGTGTGTGTGTGTGTGTGTGTATGTGTGTATGTAGGAATAGTAGGAATAAGGACCTGGGCATCTGCATTTTTACAAGAAATGTTTCCCAGCTGCTTTTCATGTGTAATTGTGATGGATAATCTCTGTCTAAGCTATTTGAGGCTATCCCAGCATCATAGGGCAAAAGTTTGCATCTTTCCTGAGAGAGCCTTTCACATGACTAAGAGTCAAAATCATTGGTTGAATATATGAAATAGCCTTAATAAGCTGGCATTAGCACACATTGCAGTTTTGTTTCACTCAATTTGTGTTTGGAATCCATTTGCTGTTAAGCTTTCATTGTGTCCTCCTAGAAATAGACCAAAGGCCCTTGCATGTATGATGCTGTCTCCTAAATATCCACAGGGCCAGTGACAGGCCCTTCAAAGCCATGGCTTTCTCAAGCATAGTTGGGAACTGATATTCATTAATGGATGTCTGCCAGTGTTATGAGTTTACACTTCAAAGATGTAATATCTTTCTGAAAACTGTTAATTGTGGAAATTTCTTTCATGAAATGTTTTGTGTGTGTTGTTCATGATTAAGTACCAGAGTTGCAAAATTTTAATACTTTGTTCCATTGATTTTATTATTTTTTGCTTTTAAAAATTCATGTTGTGTAAAGCAATTCTGATATCAATAAAAACCCGAAGAAATGGTTTTTCTAAAGAGATTGTATCAGTTTTCAAGATTAAATAAAATGAAAGAATGGGTTCTAATTGCAAAAATAATTAATAAATGAATCATTGTCTGTGCTTTGTACCAAGTACAGAGCTTTTATCAAGGATAACCATAAGTAGCATAGTATTTCTGGTCCAGAAATTGTGGATGTTATTTTAGATATACTAATTCATGCTTCGCTTGTGGAAGTTCTGAATATTTCCCTATTAACTTCTAAGGGACATGGCTTAGATTTCACGTGAGTTGTTTCAGGTGGGTCAATTGTAGTCCTGTAGAGTGAATTAGGGAACTATCACTGGCAACCACACAGCCTGACATCAGGTGTTTAGCTGGGAATGCTGTCCAAAAGGCCACTGGGAGAGCCAGAGCAAGCGATGACTATGAAACCTGAGTCATCTGTGCTGCAGAGATTATAATTCTTTTCTCCTAATGTCCTCGGCCAGAGTTTTTGACATCAGAAAACATTTGACAGTGCTACACATAATCATCTATTTCTTTATAAATGACATTCCACCTACCACAAAAGAGTGATGCCAACACAATTCAGAAAGATTTCCTTCCTCATATAAATCATTCTTAAGAAATTCATACTACAACCATCACTAAGTTTGAAAAAAGTTTTTCAACAAAGCTTTTTGGGAGAGTAATTTGGAGTAAATTGAGTAATAGTTCCCTTTTGATCCAGCCATGAACAAATTCTACTTGTACTAGGCATAGACACTAAGAAAAACACATTTAAAAGGAAATGTTTAATCAGAAAAAGCATTCTCAATCCAGTCACATGTCGACTGTGCCTTTAAAAAGTCTTTGCCTATAAAAATCTATGACTAGGAAATAGCCATTGCAATTGTCCAGTTGAGCCAAGTGGTTATACTGGAAAGTTTTACAGTCTTCACAACACTTGACAAAATTTGAAGCAATTTATTTACTTGATGCTTGCAATTTGTATCTACTATTGAACCTAAGTACAAGGAATTCAAACTATTTCTTTCTGTTTACTATTACATAGTTTACACAGTGCTGGCTATATATTTTATTTCTATTGAATGACAAGTGAATCAGAAATCCTAGGTTTGAATACTAACTTCTCTTATTCTTTTTACTAGTTTCTAAATGTATTGCATCAAATATATCAT